TGCCACCATCACTCCACTAGTCTTGAGTGATGGCTACGCGATCATAAAGAATTAGACAATATTAGAAATAATCAGAGGCTTTAAATAAAACACATGGAAGATATGAGAAAAGGTAAACTAAGATGGTTTGGCTATATCCTACATAGACCTCTAAATGCACCATGCTTGTAGGTGGGATACTTTTATGATGATTAAAAAAAGGAACGATGTAGACCTAAAACCACATGAAGGAAAATTGTCTCAAATGACTTAAAATCTCAAAATAGGTGCATGCTTAACAAAGTAAAGAATACAATACAAGCAAAGGACCTATATGTACCAACAGGTTACGATTGAAGTTTTGTTGCAGGTGTAACTTGCATAAGATCTCATCTTTGGTAGAAGTCTTTTTGTCTAGATGGATACTCATATGTAAGGGTAGAAAAAAGAGTTAGGTTTAGATAATTTCTTGTTCTGAAGGAATTTTTATGTGCCTTACAAGCAATTATTTGTCAATACTGGAAGGAAATAGATCCAGGCAGAGGACATAAAGGATTCACATAGCCAACCCAACTAATTTAAATTTGATGCATAGTTGAATGATTGATGAATCAGGCAACAATCTAAGCATTTGAGCGCCTCCCAACCCCCCCACCCCAAATAGAAAAGGAGAAAAAATAAATAAATGAAGAACAATTTTCTAGTTGCACTTCAGCTCCTTGACCTTTTAACTGAAAAGCTAGTGATGAGAGTAAGGATATATCACAAAGACATCAGAGTCATCACATTTATAGATTCAACAGGGACAAGCAGGGCAGAATTGAGCAAAAGTTAAACCTTCTCTATACTTCTTGACAATGACATTGGCATCTGGCATTGTTCCAATAAATATTCCTCCAGGTCGGAGTAAAGCTGAAATATTGGCCAGCGCACGTCGTGCACGTGCCTCAGTAGACCACGAATAATGCATAGCAAACTGCAAATTTCAAGTTTTCTTAGCTTAGAATCTGTAAGAGGACACCCAAGACGGACATAATTTCTGGATAAAGGGCTGTTGCATATCAAGATACTAGGCAGAGGGATCCAATTAGGAGGACACTGTACAGCCATTTTTCCTCAACCCTTACTTCATTAAAGTTTCTTTAAAATTTAAGAAAGATGTGGATTGGACTCCTTTTTCAGTGAGCTACTTTGGAAAAACTTCTGAACACAGTAATGAATTTACAAGTTTCATTGGCAAAATAGAAAGTAAAGCTGGAGAAAAACTAAAATAGGACAAATGAAACATTTAACATAGCCAGGAACCAAAAACATGAAAGCTTGAGAAGAGATATTTTACGAGGGCACCAACATACGCAAAACACTTCACGATGCTCATAGAAAGAGATGCAGTTTTATAAAAGTAATTCAATTCATAGAAGCATGTACCTCTATAGGCTAAGAAATGGCAGAAAAATAGTTCAATTAAGCCATAAAATAACTACTCCTTTTGATAACATGGAGTAGTTATTTTCTGGCTTAATTGAACTACTTTACTGATTGGCACGAAATATTTTTGAAGGAGAATGATAAATGGTTCATCTTGGACTATGTTTTTCACCTAACTCCCTGAAGAACAATGCTACACTATAGGAAATGTAGGAGACTGACATACCTGACAGCTACAAACATCAAAAGGTGCATCATCTGCTAAAACCCTATCCAAACGAACCTGAAATTTCCCACACAAGATATCAGTAGAGTCATCCGCCTTGATGTTTCAATAAAAGCACGCAGCTGTTTGGAATATCAGTGGTTTTAAGCATTTATTAATCATCACTATACATCCAGCTAAGGACATGATACCTAAGGTCATCATATGTTTAGGAAATGATTCATCATACATTCATAATAATCTAAACACGGAAAAAAAAAGCAACAAAAAGATAAGAATTTTCAGTTCCATCTGAAGAATGAGAAAACTTGATTGATCATGTAGTCAGCTGATTTACCTCATAACAATCTCCACACAGGAGTCTGGCAGGAAATGAGAACTTTTTGCGTCGCTGATGGTGATCTGCCTCACCATTGTAACGGGTCCGGCAGTCTTCTATCTTTACATGATTCAAGAATAATATCAAAAGTCAGGCTAGCACTCAAATACAATAGAAAATAAAAATAGACCTCAAAAACTAGAATTTAACATAAATATATAGAGGAATATAATTACTTTACTTGGTCAAAAGAAATATAGAGCAATATAACATTCTATGAGATGGATATTCATTCCCGTAAATAAAGGAAGAAACTTAGCATGTAAATCTACTAAATGGAGGACTCAATTAAGAACAGTGTTATCAAAGGCGCGCTTAAGCCCTGAAGCAAGGCTCAAAACGTGTTGAACACTTCGCCTCGCTTTATGTGCGCTTCAGTGTCGTTATCAAGGTTCCAAGGCAAAAGTTTCCTTGCCAATGAGCCTCTTATGAAGAAGTGAAACTAAATAATTGATATTTCACTTTATCATAAAAAAATTCAACTTCTTTGTTCATATATTTGTCATTTATGTTTATAATTATTAGTCTTGGACTAAACCTACATATTTGTATTCTTTTCTCCCTTTGCGTCTTTTTTCATTAAAGTCTACGCTTTATTTGCGCTTAAAGCCCCCACGGACCTTAGAGCTTTTTTGCGCTTTTCGCCTTTGATAACACTGACTAAGAAATGCCAGCATCTCCTATGCCTGAATCATTTAGAACTGATGTCAACAAGTTAGAATTTAAGAAAGCTTTCGTGGCCTTTTCTTTAAGTTAATAATCCAGATTAACCTCCAATTAAAAGACAGAGAACCAAAATTTGATCAACATTCCCTCAAGTTAAATGGCAACTCAATAATGTTTTCCTTAGTCATGCTTATTACTTAATAAAAAAAACAGATCTTTGGAATAGTTCTGCCAGAGACAGAAGATCAACCCTTGTATTCATATAAACAAATACCACAAGGCAATAATTCATAACTCCACGGATTTCTCAGCCAAGGCAGTGTGCCTCATGCTCCAGTCCATTCTATGGAGATGCATGCACACACATGGTTCAAATAGAACCTGGAAACAAGAAATTGATTTTCCATTTCAATCCTGCTGGTCAATGCTAGGCAATCATGCTGGTCAATTCTTCTAGTCAGCCATTAGTTATTTAAATTTAATCAGCTAGTATTGGGGATTATGCTAGCAAAAATTACAGGATACCATTTTGATCAGATGCATGGCACCCTCACAAATGTCGACCTTTGTGGTTAGTCCTAAGGGTTGGCCCCAGCCAGATGTCTCTGTCCAACAAAAAAAGAAAAAGAAAGATGCATGGCACCCTCCCCCTAAGCAAAATCTGTCTAAGATACCCCCCCCAGGTAAAGTATTTCTGTCTACGATAATTTAAAGCACAAATTGAGATCCCTCATGTTTTTGCCACTTCTTATCAACAAACTTGAGTAGTTCAACATTGTTCATGCAAAGAATGTTTCGAAATTGGATTGGATTGAATGGATGGTGCTGAGCACATTGGAGGAGGTGTCACATAGTTGGGCCTTTAGAAGGAGCAAGAGAAGATCTAGCATGGGATGCTGCTCCATCAGCCCATTATGCGAGTTCTATGAAAAGAGAAACATGATAGCTTTTGACGGTGTTGATATTGATTTTATCAAACTGCAAAATAGTATCTTGTTTCTAGTTTCTTTTTGGTGTACCAATGACCATGGGGTTTCTTTGTGAATAGATGAATAAATAAGATAATTGGAATTCTTTCATACAGAACCACATTTTGATGTAGGTTCTCTATCTATTGGTATACAACTTGTACACAGGGTTTCCCCTGTCATTAATAACATCATTTGCCTCATATCAGAGAAGAATATTTCAAAAGTTTAACCAAATCAGAGAATTATTCCTATACAGAAGATCAACTGCGTGTAACTAATTTTAAGAAAAGAAGGCAAAGACTTGTTAATACTTTAAGCAATTAGGCCGCATGATAAAAAGTTCAGGAAATGTTGGATCTTAAAAAAATCTACTATGCAGAATGCTACCGATGATAAACAGAAACAATAACCTATACAATGAGTGAAATCTGACTGAATACATGTCAATTTAGTGGGAAACACCATAATGGGAACCACAAACTGGAATGAAGATAGATCCTCCTTTATTTATCATTCTTGAACCACCTTAAGAATTAAAGATACCCTGGTAACCAGGTGGATGCAAAGTCCCACCACATGGCTTAGTAGGCATTTGGACATGCGATTTCATTTCGTGATTTGTAATCATGAGATGTAATCGGCGTTTGGACATGCGATTTTATCTCATGATTCCAAATCATGAGATGCAATTCCAAATTTTTCCAAAAAGCTTGATTTGAAAATTTCATATCATGAGTTCATATTTTGTAAATATAAAAATTGACCCACAAGTTTAGATTTTGTAAAAGAAAAAGCCACCATTTAATATCAACATTATATTTTGCGATAAATTGAAGGAGTGATGAAATATTCACGAAATATTCACATGATGATATAGTTACTAATGATATTGACCAACAAACGACTTATATTAAAGAGTAGTACACTGCAATCATGCTCAATTTTACTTTTTTATTGAACTAGAGTTTGATCAATAAATGTTGTAGTTTTTTTTTAGAATAGCTTTGTTATAGTGTATTATACTTTTGTTATAAACTTTTACTTATTGGTAAGATTCTATTTTTAAAATTGGGGTAAATTTGAAAGTTTTTATGTTTATAACCAAAACCAAGTTGCATGTCCAAACAAAACTTCAACTTCATTTCATATGATTTCATATCCTGATTTCATCTCACATGGCCAAACGGGCCCCTAGAATATCCTTGTTATACTATACTTCACTGCAAGCACCACTCTAACAGCTAATAGCATAGTAAACCTTCAGATGTTCAATTAATAATATTTAATAATGTTTAACTGCAAAACATCTAAGTACTGGTAAAAAGCATCTTCTAGGAAGCCATACAAATTATTAAGCATGTAAAATAGCTTGCTGAAAGGGAGCTCTGACTTGCAGTGGCAGCAAGCACAAAAAGACCAAAACAAGTATTCATCCAGCAGGAACTTACTGAACCATCGGCAATATCAATACCAACGTAATATCCAATCTTTGCTTTATCCCATTTGATGAGATCACCACCCTGGTTTAAACAGAAAGTGAGAATTAGATGCATGGCTACTTGGTTAATTACCACCTAGAAATTCTAACAGCTCATTGCTGCCAGATAATTGGGGTGTACAATAAGGCAAAAGTACCTTCCCACAAGCAAGATCAAGAACTGCATCCCCTCTTTTCGTATAAAGCTGAATCAAGACACTCTTGATCTAACAAGCCAGAAAACCTCATTAGCAATGAACTATGCAGAATATCCCCGCTTATGAATAAACAAGACATACCCAATTATTAAGTTTCTTTAAATGGATGATAGGACTTGCTTCGCGCTCTTCAAGAGTTTGATTGGTCCTCGCACTGTAATGATCAGCCACCTTCCTGGCAAAGATTTTTGTACTCTCATCTTCCAGAAAATGAGTGTCGCCTGACACCAGTTCAAACTTTTAATCAAACCGCAATAGAAAACCAACTTCTGGCTTCTTTATCCAAAAAGGTTACAACTTCCTAAAGTTTAGCATCAGAAGTTCAATTATTTATGGCATAATACATCGCCCCTAGCAGTTAAACAACTACCCTGCATCGTAAATAAAATTCAGACATTACAATAATTGTAGCAAAACACTTTAGCAGCGAAAATAACAGTATCCTTGTTGGTACTAACTAATGCAACAATGAACAAATATGTTATATCTATGTCTATACAGGGACAGATAACAAAAATCAAATGCAGTTACTATTAAAGAAAAACATGAGAAAATTCTCTTCTAGGTTATGCTTTAAAAAAAGCAGTAGTTCTCTAACTTCACAGGCATCTAACGGTGTGACCTAGTGGTCAATGAACTGAACGGTCTCAATTTCATTACAGATAAAAAAACACTAGGTGATTTCTTTCCATCTGTCCTAGCAACGGAGTCACCTGATACCTGTTACATGTTGCTGCTAGCCGGTGGCTAGTATCACGTGGAATTAGTCAAGTTACGCCAAAGCTAACCCCGACACCATAGTTATCAAAACAACAAAAACACACCAATGAACAAATATGTTGTATCCATATCTATCTATACAAAGAAATGCCAATAATCAAGTGAATTTGTCTTAAAAGAAAATATTACAAAATTCCCTTCTGGGTTGTGCTTATACAAAAGTAAAGTTTCTAACTTTACAAGTACTAATTCAACAAACAAAACGAATATGCATAAATCCATCTACACCAAGATAGGTAAATCCCAAGTGGGGTCTTTTGAAAACAAAAAACAAATAAAAATTACCTTCTGGGTTTAGCTAAAATACGAGTAAAGTCTCTAATTTCATCATGCTATATCCATATAATTCCAAGAAAAGGTAATAAAAACAAAGAAGATGAAAAAATACCTTCTGGGTTATGCTTAAATTTGGATTGTGGAGGTCCATAAGAACTCGAAGATGGAGATTCAGAGTAACTTCTCTTCATAATTTAAGAACCAACAAGTACAACAGTATGGATTATGAACAAATCTGGAACACTAAGCTATAAAACAGTGAGAGAAGAACAAGGAATTAGTGAAGGGAAAGTATTTGATTTGTCAAAGACACTTTTGTTCATCCACCTTATAAGCCCTTTCGGATTCGTTTACAAGGGGTTGTAAGGAAAATATTTAAGGACAAAAATTAAATATATTAGTAATATTTTTTATTACTATTTTAATTATTTTAAAATAGTTGAAAATATAAAGTTGTTAAGAATTTTATTTAAGGAAAACAAAATTTAATAATTTATTTAAAAATTGAAAAACTCACTTAATTTAAATTATGAAAAATGTTTCAATTATTTGCAACCTATTTTATTTCTTTTAATGATTTAAATCTTGTTATGAAATATATTACATGAATGTCTACTAAATGTATTATCTTTATTACTATTCATCGTGATTATTGATTTGAAGTAATACCTACATCTCCACTGCCTTCTTATTTATCTTCCGCACCCCTTAATCTACCCAAAATTCTCAAGGATTAATGATATGTTTATGGCTATTGCTCTAATCTTTTAATATTCATATCTTATATTGCTTTAATTTTACGATATGTTATCCATATGAATCTCTAAATTCATTCGTATGAAGCAAAAGAAATAAAATGTCGGTTATATGTGAATCAACAAGGTTAGTATTTTACCGGCAAATATTAGCTCTATTCCTTTACTGTCTCAAATGATATTTGATCACTGAGTGTTGAATAATTAGTTTCAATTTCCATTAGAATTTTCCAATTCTAATTGAGTCTATTAAAATTCGTAATGGAGATTTACGACAGATGATCAATATTTTAGAGCTTTTGCAACACCTTAGAAATCCTAATCTAGGGTCAGACCATCCCTATTTAATTAAGTGGTTTAAAATTTATAGGAAATTGAGTTTTATGGACACCATCTACGGACTGTAAACTATTTTTTCAGACACATATACTCGTTTTAGCATTAAGAGTAGTTTTGGGGTTGCATCCCCAATTTGATTTTTTTTAGAGTTTTGGTTATAATGACTTTCAGTTCTTAAGGGTTTTCCGCATTAAATGTTTTAAACTATTGGGTTGAGTTTATAAGGACTCAATCCTTGGTTGTCGCAAATGTTTTACTTTTTATATGATAAACTTGGTTCTTTAAATGATGTTTGGCTAGTTTTGGGTTAATAGATGGTTCTCCCACCAGATTGTTTAGTATGGTGCCACTCACGATGGTTTGAGTCGAGACAAACTTAGTATTAGAGTCCTAGGTTTGTTGATCTCGTCATATCAAAACGAGTCTAGTAGAGTCTTATGGGATGATACGAAAACGTTTGTACTTTTTTGTAAGAGGCTACAAGACTTTAAGAAATCCTCTTCATTTTTCTTTCGAGCTTTGACTTGATTCCAATTGTTATTTGACCATCCAAATTGGTATCTAACTCTTTCGCTCTTCTGTGCGCAGATAGTTGACACTTGACAGAAAGACACAAGGGTAGTAGCTCTAGTGGTAGAGCCCGCAATGAGAGGACGTGGAAGAGGTTAGGGAAGGGAAACACCCACCGGAGGTGGAGCTTAGAATGTGAATGCACCAAGGGAAGCGACCCGACCCCCACCCCAGGATTGTCATGTACCGAGGCTATTCCCTAGACGTAATACGGGACCTAGGATTACGAGTGATCCCAAGCTAACCCCAAGTCTGGCATATCAAATGCATACTGAAATATAATTAAGTAAACGAAAGCATTACTATAAAGTGAGTCAAAACTAAAAGGACTCCAAGTGAAAATATATTTGAATATCCATAGGAAACAACCCCAAAAACTAAACATTGACTCTATGTATGGAAGCCTCTAATATTGATGAGCTGATGGGACAAGTCCCCAGCTAACTCTAAAAATACGGAAAGACTGATAATAAGCTAACTAAACCAAAAGCATAAAGAAACATCCTCGAAGTATGAGGACTCACCATTGGAGCTGCTAAATTTGGACTGGAAATCGAGTCAAGCGTGATCTGGATCCTGAGCGTCTGACCCTACATCATAAAATAATGTAGCGCAAAAGTATGTGTCAGTATTATGAATGTACTGAGCATTCATGGTATATATATGCTAAGTTGAACGATATGTAAGCTGAACAATGCGTAAGCTAAGCAAAGATATAGACTGTACTGATGTATAACTGAAAGATAAACTGGATGTAATGACCAAGTACTAATCATGAAGATAACATGTTGAATTGTATGCGCGGGCACGTAGTTTTAGGACTTGACGGTAAGCTGAGCCCTAGTCCAACTCGGTGCTAAGTCTACTCCCAACTGATTATATATGAAGCTAAAACGCACTAAAATATTGAGTAACTCAAAATACTGGCATGCTAACTGAGAATGCAACATTTATATACTGAAGATAAGGTATTCGACTTCTAAAGCATGATTTTCTGACTAGTTTACCTAGTAAGTATAATTCATGAAGTAGTGATAGATTTACACAAGCTAGGGTTCTGAGTTCTATGAATGAAATTATACTAATTTATCAAGAAACAAGTTATTTAGATCAAAGGAACCATAATATCCAAAATCACAATAAATCTTGAAAATCTAGAAACCATAGGTTTGAACAGTTTATGAGAATTTGAAGGATTAACTGAAATCTAGGGACCTAATGGGTTAAAGGAACCCACTAGTAATCCAACATACGTGGTGATGAAACTACAGAGAAATTCTTTGGATTTCGGGGTTAACTTTGAAGAAAACTTATGCTTGTTCTTGGGAGAACTGGTCGACTTTTCCTCTTCTTTTCGCTATAAGTTGGGTGATTTTGTTGGAGAATGAGGGTCCTGGTATTGTTAACTAGATTAGTAGGCTTAGACTTAGTAAAACGACGTAGTTTAGGCACCAAACGATATAGTTTAAGTGCCCAATGCATATGGAAAAAGACTAAAACGACCCTAACTTAAAGTTGACGAAGTGACTTTCATGATGGGACTGACGGACCGTCTATAGGACCACGGACTGTCAATTGGGTCGTGGTGATGGCCTTACCCAACAGGGCCCTACTGAAATGAGTGTAACTTCTTACTCCTAGCTTGGATTTTAGCAAACTCGGTGGCGTTGGAAATATGACTCAGAGATCTTAAATTTGATAGGTCATGGGCCACCTAATTCATTTTGTGCTTAAAGATATAACCGTTTGAAGTTGACCCAAAACTTGGAGGCTGACATGTCCTTTCCACGGTCCACTTCACGGACTGTGTGAAGCACCACGAGCCGTATAGGCCACCGTGGTTTTTCACAGGAGCTGGGTTGGTACTGGGTCATTTCCACGGCACAGTTAATGGACTGTGTAGGGTTCCATAGACCGTCTAGTGGTATGTGGTCCTCCACTTTTCCCAAGGGTGTGAACCATGACGAGGGTGACGAGTCGTGGTTCTGTACACGACCCGTGGACCCCTTCCGTGGTTCACTTTTTTCCTCTTTTCAGTCTTAGTCAAAAAAAAATTGAGGTGTTACAAGGATCTTGTAAATGAAGAGGTTGAGATTGAAGATAAAGTTGAACCTGAAGTGAGTGCGCATGCTGGGATTGCAGGTCTTCCCCCTATGGACGCTGGGTCTTCCCCCTATAGACGTTGGGACTGTTTAACAAGAGCAAAACACAACAAGTAATAATAATAAATATAATGCAATATATAGTCAATGAATGAGTTGTGAGGTAGGACCCTGAGGGACTCGTGAGTCTCATATACCAACCCACGAACTATATTCCTCGAGTATACAAACCAATATTTATCCTCGGTATAATCAACAATAAAACCACCAAGAATTATTTCCCTAACTTTCTTTCAAAACATAGTTTCCAGAATACTAAATTTGTGATCCATGAGAATGAATATAAATGCATGATCACAAAAATAAAGGAATTTTAAATAAAATACATATACCAAGAGTCCACCCTCACACCACAATAACTATATATAGCCAACAAGCCTTTTCAAATAATAGTTTTGCTTTCAAAATAATTCTTATCTTTGTAACACCCCAAAAATTTCTAAGCTTAGGTCCGAACCATTCCTTAATTGCCTAAAAAATTAAATCGGGTGATCCTTAAGTTACGCATAGGTGTAAAGGTCATTTATTTGGTGTTCAAATGAATTTGGATATGATTTAAGGTCATAAGAACCCCCTAGCACAAAGTTGAGTTGAAATATTCATTTACTTAAGATTCTACTTAGGTCAACTTCAAATGATCATATCTCCCGGTACATAATGAATTAGGTGGCCTATGACCTACTAAATTAAAGGTCTTTAATCTTCTGTCCAACGCCATCAAATTTGCCTCATTTAATGGTCGGAGTAAAGAGTTATGACCGTTTTACCAAAGACTGTCAAACCAGAGTTTAGACCCTTAATTGGGTGAAAAAACATGTAGGAAACGGATGAATTGCCTTAACAAGAAAGGCTACACTAAAACGGGCATATCTCCTTCATCTAAACTTGGAGTTTAGCAAACTCGGAGGTGTTGGAAAGAGGACTCAAAGTCCTTCGATTTGATACCTGATGGGCCACCTAACTCCTTTTTTGCTAAAAGTTATGGTCGTTTGAAGTTGACCCAAAACTCACAATTGAAGAGTAACTTGTACGAATCTCAATTTAGCTCTTTCAAAGTCCGAGGTGTTACAATATCTCCCCCTTGGGAACATTCGTCCTCGAAAGAGTTCACTCTAAGTAGAATAGGATGTGGGAAAACATCTAATACCCAACTCAAACACCCAACATGCATTTTTAACACAACTTAGCATATCAATTTAAAAGGTTATCGACAAAAAGTTATTACCTTGGTCTGAAACTGATTCGGAAGGAAAGAGATGTGGGTATCTCTAAATTTTATCCTCCTCAGCTTCCCAAGTAGCTTCTTCAACAAATTGATTTCTCCATAGGACCTTGACTGATGCAACCTCATTGGTTCTCAACTTGCGAATCTGACGATCAAGAATCTGAACGGGTATCTCCTTATAAGATAGGTTGTCCTAATACCAATATTCTCACTAGGTACAATAAGTGAAGGATCACCCATACACTTCTTCAACATAGAAATGTGAATACCGGATGGACAGCTGCTAACTCTGACG